ACCATGCGCTCCCCAGCAAATGTTCCATCGGCTTTATAGAAAATATTCAGTTGTATAATGTCTGTCGGGCATCTGTTTTCAATGTCAGGAGTCTTTAATTGATTGTTTGTCTTTGACCGGTATGCCTTAAAGGGGCATTAGCTACGAGATATAACAAAAAATTAAAATATGATTATTTTTTTGTTCAATCATTAATGAGAGTTAAATAGTGACATACTTATTTGCTTTTGGCAGCCAATTTGGTTCAATTTTGTCAAAATAAGCTAAGAAATATCGCTGATGAATTATTCACTTGCAAGTGAATAATTCGACCTCATTCAATTCGTATTCATGTGACCTTCAATTTAACCCCTTAGCTATAGATAGGTTACGCATGAATTAGGCGTGTTCAGTTATTAAAAGGAAAAAATGTCAACCTTGAAAGTGAAACAAGGGTAAACCATATGATCGACTGATCGATCCACAAAAACTCATTCTTATACAGGTATAAACGATGATTAACATATATTTTTAACTTATAATATGAAATCAAACAGACATAGAAAATTCCAATTACACGAGTTTGCTATCTATTTATATCTTTGTTTATGTCTATATCGAGTTATATGACCGTCGGAAGTCAGTAATCACAACACATCCACGTAATGCTATATAAAAGTCAAGGTAAACCTTTGACTTAAAGTCCCGTTAATATTTCGCCTTCCAATGATAAATAATAAACTCTAAACTCCGAAACAGTGGTGACGTTGCTTTGCTAAACTTTTAAAATCAACGTAGCGTATACGTAGTAAGGAGGACGTAACCACTGTTTCGGAGTTTGAATAAACTCATCACAATCCAGACTTCGATATTTATTGTATTAATCTAGTGGAACTTTTAACAAAAATAACGGAACCAATTTTACTGCACCAGATGCACATTTTGATAATTTACGCTCTTCATTGATGATGGAAACTTGAATATTGAAACCAAAGCCTAACAACAACGTTTAAATGAATTATACTACAAAATTAGTTACAAGGTACTCTCAAGCTGATGACTTACACATAGAACCTAGAAATTATCCACGAGGGTAATTTCGACATCTGTAGGATTGTCAACGTTAGAACGGTCGATGGTAAATGATTGTTTATATATCTGTTTGTTGTTAAAGTGATTAAGATAATAAACAACGTTGACTGCTGTACCCCTATTTATAACATTTTTACCTATTATGTCTTTTTGTTTTGTTCACACATCGTTGTCAATATAATGGAATTGTATACGACTGTCATACAAGTGAGAGGTTTAGCTAGCTATAAAACCAGGTTTAATCCACCATTTTCTACATGAGAAAATGCCTTTACCAAATCAGGAATATGACAGTTGTTGTCCATTCGTTTGATGTGTTTGAGCTTTTGATTTTGCCATTTGATTACGGACTTTTCGTTTTGAATTTTCATCGGAGTTCAGTATGTTTGTGATTTTACTTTTTGCCATTGTAAATTTCAGGAGGAACTATGTATCATACTTACTAGTTCCACAAGGATTTTACTAAAGAAAAAGCTTTATTATGAAAAAAAAAGACTAAAAATCACTGGTGTTAAACTGATCGTGGTACCATGATTCCAACATGGCTGAGGTAGAAGGCGATGATAACGTTTTCTTCTTATTTCTCCGTGTAAACGTGTTATTTTCAAGAATTACTCAGCCGCCATGTTGATATGTACGATTTAGTTTGGGTGTGTGTTCCTTATATAATATATGGTCTCGTTAACAAGATAATAGCTATCGAATATTTAAGGAAGACAATTGTAACTCCAAAAAGAGATAATCGTAGATTGTGAACATATAACTGAAAGGATAATCGTAACTGCAGAAAATATTTCAATGATAATAGGAACTGATTGCTGTCAGGCAATCTGTAGACTTTTACCATTGACACCTTTCTAAGGCTCTCACGTCAACCGTTTTGTGCTTTACATTAGGAACAATTCTGATTCTTAAGATTGTCCTGTTATAAAAAGTAAAAACAAACAAAGAGATTGAATTTAAACAACATTCTGTTAATTTTCTTCTAATAATCCTCATGTTTTGATATCTCTCTTTTTCATTTGCGTTTATTTTTCAATACGGAAAATCAAAATTAAGCAGTATTTATATTTAGGGTTTTATATATTTAGAATCACGTCAGATAGGGTATTCCGTAACCCGAATAATCCAGTCGTCATATTACGATCACTTCGATCACTCCACTAAAGCCTGAATGCACTTACAGTCAAAACACGTCAACCGGAAATTAAAGAAACGAGCTGCATCATAGGATCAATATATCCTGACGTATGGTGCAAAATAAAGGAGGAGTTTAAAAGTGTTTTTAAACATTTGCAGTGGAGCACGAAACGTGTTTTCATTGTACACACGTGTTTGATCAGAAGAATTTAGCGAAGGAATGCAGACGGATTTTCAGAAAATTCACGGTGAAATCGTTAAAGTCAGTTTACGGTGGTGTTGAACTTCGTGATGGTCTTGAACAAGATTGTTTTGTTTGCAGTAAGTGCTATAATGTCATACAGGGATCCCGAATAATCCGTCGTTATATTACGATCACCTCGATCACTCCATTAATTTGACTTTTCCAAATTTCATGGAATTTTATTGTACTACCTATATTGGGTAGAATTCATCTGTTCTTCATGATCAAAAGACAGTATCCAGAGCAACATTTTTAAGGAAAATATTTTTTAAATGTATTTTATTTAGTATTTTACTGATAAATGTATTCAGTTATTTGCAATGGGGGAAATTAATTTAGACATCAATAAATAGCTAGTATTAATATCTTCATCAACATTTCCTTGGATGTAATGAACACTGGACATAATCAAGAATTGCATCTGAAGAAAAAGGTTTATTATTTCATACTGACAGTAGCAAACGCAAGAATAGCAAAAACTAATGTATGGTACTTATAACTTGGTACGCTAAAGTGCTACATAAAACTCATCAGTGGCACATGAATCAAAACAGTAAGAAAGCCAAATCAAATACAAAGTTGAAAGTTGAAGAACATAAAAATCAGGGTTTAGTTTAATCCATTAGAATTTTTTTGTTAAATTGAATTGTGCAAATCGTTGTGTTAAAATTTATTCTAAGTTCCAGATATATGTAATTACATGCATCTTTGCAGATTATTTATTTTTTTAACTCAATTGCTTGAAAAAAATGTAGCTCGAGATACCGTTTTCCCAAAAGTTTTCATTCATGATAGAATTTACAATCTTGCCCGCGAACATCATTTAAATGTGTGCAGTTTTGAAAGATGTCTAGGATTTTAAAATTTTGGGCCATACGAATACTAAACCCAAAGAAAGAACAGATTGAATTTTGTGTGCTTGTACAAACGTATATTTTTGACACTAAGTATGTGGGATTGATAACATTCAGACGGAATTTATACTACTAAAGGAAGAGACTGATTTCATTGAGCCGCAACTCCTCTGAAACCATACAAAGTCGGAAATATTTGTGATATGACGTATAAATCTAGTGTTTTGTACTTCCTAAATTTGTCTTTGAAGCAATCTTTTTTCCGCAGAAAACGCCAATTCTTGAGAAAATATCCAAATTTGTAGACTGTTATTGATCCGTGTCTTATACGCTTTCGCGCATGCTCAATCGACGTACTGCCCGCGAAATCTAACTAATATAGGACAATGGTGTTGATTGAAAATTACAACATTCCAGGCCTTTTTGTTTTCCACTTAATTAAAAACCAATAGTTAACAAGTTCCGGGTCGATACCGATCCCAATAGTACCGGTTACCTGTTACATAATCTGTACGTTCCGCCTCTGTTAGGCGCACCACCAAACGGTGTATTTGGGATTTGCTATATACACGGATCATAATCACACCTGAACTTCGTCATTATACAGGGATTGACATTTTGACCCAAAAAATACATCTACAAGTAGTTTCCGGTTGTATTCAGAAAAGCAGGACGGGTTCAAACAAAAAGATTTTTAAAGCAAAGAAAACTGTGAGCCTTACAATGAGCATGACTTTGTCAAATGACAATACGAATACTAAATATCCAGAGTGAAAATAATGCGTAGATCCTAATTCAGTCACAAACCCGCGTTGTCGCGGGTGTGTTCTTGTATTTTTAAAATGAGAGTGTTTGAATTTCCAGGAACCAAGCAAATGTAGAGCAAATTTCTAACTCAATAATTACATTGTTTATGTATAAATATACACTTGTATCAGAGATTGGCTATTTTGTAAAGTTTAAAAACGATATGCATATTGAATCAAATAACTCGAATAACTCGAAATGATCATTTAAACTACAAATGATAAATTGCAACAAGAATTGTGTTCATTTACAACACAGATAGAACCTGCACAATATGATCAGCGAAGAATCAGTGTACTAAATTTCCACAGGAACCGTTTACCCGTTCGGAGCACCTGAGTTCTACCCTGGTTGATGATGGAGTTCGTTTGGTTCAGTTCTTAAGTCTCTTATGTAATGTTTTGAAAACGTCTGCTTTCTTTTTTTCATTTTTCGTTGTTTTGTCCATGGCGTTTTCAGTTTGTTCTTCGACATGAGTTTTGAAAGTCCCCTTAAATCTTTTTTTTATTCCAAAGAATATTGATACAAACTGACCTTATACAATAACAAGGTCAATACAACCACTTCACATTATCATCATAGAAAATCTTACAATGGACTTTGTTTGGGACAGACACTTTTGAATAAAGCAGGTAAGTTGACTCATATTTTAAAATGAGTTTATACTGAAGCTGACAACTGCCTAAAGTATCCCAATAAATGACTAGGTTGTTACTTTTCATTTCACTTGCTTCATTACATTGTTTTGAATTCAACACCACCCAATAAAGTTTCACAATGGGTACACAAAACATGCATGTCATTCACAGTAAATATTGTCCAACACAGTCAGCATGTTTTCCATTGACGAGAGCAGCAGTCAGGGTAAAATAATTCATAACGAATATCAGTAAGCACAATTTATTATAATTACAAACAAAATCGATCCAAATTTATAATTTTTATTTTTTTTTTGAGAGAGAGTTTTTTTTTTTTTTTTTTAGTAGTCAGACTTTTACAATCCCTATACATCAACACCTGACTATGGTGTTAAGGGGTTTGGTATATAAAACAAAAAAAATGAATAATTGATTTATAATTACAAAGAGTAAATAAATGTACAAAGTAGACATATTAAAAAAAAAATATACAGCAGTTGCTTTTTATATGCAAATTTATCAAAAATCTCACCATACAGGTGTAATACCACCAACTAATAGTACTTCACATCCGGTTGTTTACGAAAAAGCGTCGAAAAAAATATTCCCCTGAATTTGACAGCTGTATGAAATTAATCCTACATTTCATTGCAGTAAAAAATTTCTGAGTCCTAAACATATATCTTGTTTGGTTCAGAGCACCACTCTTTTTTTATTCGGTGTTTATATAAAATATTTTGGAATATTGAGGTTACATGGTTACTAAAGCTTGTAAACAGGAAATAAAGAGGTGGACATTTGATTGGTTTACTTCAAGTGATGGTTATCATCTTCTATGCGATAAAATGTTATGTGAAATGTTGTCTGTAGTACTGGACAGGATAAAACTTTACTCATACCGAGTAGTTCTTTATTTGAAACAAAGATAAATTCTGCTCAATTTTTTGAAAATTGCAAATATAACAAAGACTAATAGGGGGAAATAATGGTGGTATTACACCTAGATATGATGTAAGTACACAATGTATCAATCGAAAATTGAACACAAATACAGAACAATATACAAATACACATACATCCTATTGTAATACTTTCTAAATGCATTTTACAACACCATATAGAAGAAGTCATTAACGGTAATGACAGGACTCCAAAGAAAATAGAGCATTTTCATTGACAAACAAGGTTAGTATACACTCTAGACATAAAGAATACATATCTGTGAAAAGCAACTAACAGCATTCCGTTTTACAAAATTGAATGTTCTGTAAAACATGAAAAACTAACCCCACATGTCTGCTATTATGATAACAAAGGAAGAATAATAACGCTTGCCACTAATACAGCAATAGCTGTTGATCCTCATTGATATATGATTTCTTGTTGACTTCAAGGTTGGTTCGTGTTTCTTAATCTTAAGTTTTCTGTGTGGTGGACTGATGTGTAAGCAAACTCAAATCAGGGTAACAAACTAAAAACGGGGAAAACACATCAACTATAAGAGGAAAACAATGGAACAACAGAAACACTGAACCACAAAAAAGCAAATGCTAACATCCAAAGAAACGAGCTGTCTGATAACAACTGCCATATTCCTGACTTGCTACAGGACAATCTAAGAAAAAAATGATTGGTTTAAACTCGGTTTTATGGCTAGCCAAACCTCCCGCTTATATGGCAATGTTAAAAAAACGTTAACACGTGAAGTTGTCATATCGCAAATTTTAGAACTAGTATTTAATTGCAGCTTTGCTATCGTCAATTAACAGAAATGCTGAATTATATTTATAAACGCATTACATGCTATTTTGCCTTATCATTTATACTATTAAACAGAACAGACAAATTCAATATGTGATAAGCTTCCATACAATACATATCTGACCATGATTACATAAATAAACACTAGATTGTTTATATACAGCTGTATACAATTATTTATAAACCGACAAAAATTCAAATTGACATTCTGATAGATATAAGTAGATGTGATATGAGTGCCAATGAGAAAACTCTCCATCAAAGTCACAATTTGTAAAAGTAAACCATTATAGGTCAAAGTACGGTCTTCAACACTGAGCATTGGCTCACACCGAACAGCAAGCTATAAGGAGCCCAAACAATGACTAGTGTTAAACCATTCAAACGGATAAACCAACGGTCTAATCTATATAAAAAACGAATAACGAGAAACCACATCAACAAACAACAACTACTGAACATCAGGTTTCTGACTTAGGACAGGTGCAAACAAATGCAGCAGGTTTAAACGTTTTAACAGGTACCAACCTTTACCCTTATCTGGAACAAAAGTGTAACATCACAACATAGAAAGACACTATAAAATATCAATTGAAATGGCTTAACTCAATCAAAAGACATATAAACACAATTGAACATACACAACGAATAAATTTGATCTATGACACAATCTAAATACAAAATCAATAAAATAAGGGGTTAGATGTTAAACAATTTCAGAAAAAAAACCTTAACCTTGAACAAAATGCCGCCAAATAGAATAATGTCGACAGGTAAATGAAAATAATTTTGTTGAAAGGTATACAGTATAAATGGAGAATGGAAATATTTTTTTACAAAATTCATAGTATGAGAACAAAAGTGAACATTTATAGTCATAGCAAACACTTATCAAAGCTGGTATATATCAAAAATAGAGATACGAGATATAAACTAAATTAGTAAACATTAAATAACAAAAAAGCATTACAAATTGTATCAACAGGCCATAATTGACATAACAAATGGGTAGGAGAATATTGAATGACATGAAGTGCATTTTTATGTTTTGATCTTTTTACGTTCTACTTTATGTGGCCAGTTTCAATTTCTGTTTCAAGATTTTGAATACTAGATTAACACAATATAAATTATGATATGCATCAGAAGCTAGTTACTTGATTTAACTTCATGAAAAATGATCAAAGCCGAAAAAAGGTGACAGTCAAGGGATTATATGTGGTTTAAGAATACAGTTATTTCGTAGTGCATTTCTTTTAGACAAAAAACGAAAATTGAAAAAATCGCACCTGCTCTATCCTAAAAAGATTTTTTTACAGTGTAGTCTACTACTTTAGGGACACATTATATCCACATTATAGAACAGTCTATCGGCTCTAACTCAAAATATAAACAATTCTTTGTTAAGGGGGTCTGCAAATCAGTTTGACAGCTTCAGACATACTAATTTTTGACCTTTTCAAACTGGACCAAATCACATTTTTACCTAAAAATCGATGCCCCAATCTTTTTAGACAAGTAAGATCACCCCCTACTTACTTTTTTTTGCATAAAATATAAAGAAATAAATTTGAAAGGTATGTGAAAAAAATTAGCAAGTTATAAACTGTCCACACTAGGGACTCTATTAGTAGACAACGAAAATCAAAGGACGATAACTGTGTTCCCGAACCAAATGTACCTGATCACTTTTAGAGCTCTATGATGAGAAAGGACCTAAAATTAATATCTACATCCATCTTAGGACAACTTTGCTTGGTGGAGTTTGAACCATATTTTCTTAATTATTCCGAAATTTATCAAAAGAGAATGGCATACAATACAGCATGAAAGTACCTAAGCATTGACTTATGAGGCGAAGGTACGCGGGGGACTAATAGTCTCCACTAGTTGTACTGACCAGTTGATATCAAAAGTGAAAATATCACTGTTTATACTATTTACTACTGTCTTTTGTTCTTTGGTCGTTTTTTGTTTGTTTTTAAATTGGTTCATCCTTTATTTCTAGCGACTGTTCACTGATGCATCTGGCATATAGATGGGATTCCTCCCGCCTATTAGATTCCAAAGATTCATATAAATTTGTATAGGTCCTATTCTCCTCTAATGGATTACTGTCTTCATCAGGCTCCTCATAAATGTTTTCAGGCTGCTGCGGTGCAGGCAGCAATGCCTGATACGGATTTAGATATCCATCGCTTATAAACCTAATCCCAATTGATGAATCGCTTGAGGTAGTATCGTCATCAGAAAGAGGACGTTGTTCGGATGGTGATGCGACGAAATCTGACATTTCAAGTTCGTTAATTTCTGTGTATTCGTGATCACCTCCTCTTTCCGTTGAAATGTTTCGGTTCATTTCAACATTACGGTTTTCCAGAGCTGCACGGTTATCTATATTTCGACCAATTTCTACATTCCGGGTTATGTTTGCTTTTTTACATCTCCTATGTACACAAAAGCAAACGACACTGGAACCGAGAATGAGAAAAAAGCCAGATCCAATCGAAATAAAAATTATAACTTCTGTATTTATTATACCTACAAAGGAATAAAAAAAAAATGTTTTTAAACAATTGATTGTAAACTATATTTTACTTTGCTATGTTTGATTTAATATTTACAGCGGAAAAGGTTTTGAATCATCCGATTAAGGGCCATGTTCACTATCCAATGAATCGTTAACTGAATTACAGTATGCTTACTATTGATTACTAAAACATTGATTATTATTCAGCATAATATATATATATATATATGAATATAGTCTAGCAAGTCTATTCTTATCATTCAATTTTCAGACATTACTGTTAACATTCCTCAGATTAGCAAAGCAGTAATGTTCTAATGTTTACACAATTTTTCACAAAAATAATTACTGGGAAACAAGATATAATCACGTTAAGGTAGATGTGTTTTTGAACTAAAACGAGATAGAAATTCTGTAAATTTGCAAAACATGCAGTTTACATCACGCTATGTTAAAAAAAAAATAAATCACAGATTTTATCACGTATTTGTTTTCAAACTACTTGTTGTGCAAAATTGGCAGATTTTAGAAAAACAATTTTTGTGAATAAAAAGAAAACCGAATAAGGAAATGCTTAAGTGAAAAAAAAAAACAATATTAAATATCCTTTATGAATAAAGGAAAAAAATGGGACACTGAAAAAAACATTAAATTAAATATACCTCCTGTTTATAGAATTAACCTATCTTGATTATAAAATTTTGTATGTCTAAATAAAAAAAGATATATGAAAAAACCAGGTCAAAATGATAACATAATTCACACAGTTGTTTTCATACAGATAATCTGTTTTACTAATAAATTATATCCATGCATTGCAAGCCGTATTTATATTTATTCAATTTCAAAATATCTTGTACAAATAATACGACATATTGAAGAGAATAAAGGTTATCTTGTTTTCTTCATTTGATAGTTTAATTAATTTAAAGTTAATTAGATGTCTTATCTACAATATAAAAAATCCTATCTACTTTATAAGATTTCTGGTTAACTAAAAATTGTATCTTGTATCATTAAGAAGAAATTCATATATATTTGAAGAAATATTTTAAACACATACTTCATAAGATATCTTGTATAGTTTAAAAGATATCTTAACAAGTTTATAATGCATCTTATATTTACTTTATTAGATATATAATCAACCTTATTTGATATATGATCAACTTTATAAGATATCGTATTAACTTTATCAGATATCTTTTAAGTTATACAACGTATTAGTTATGGTTGATTTTTCTCGTATGTATTAATCAGATAATAAGATATCTCATATAGTTTATAAGATATTTCATTTGATATTTGAGATAGTTAATTTAGTTAATAAGGTATTTCTTAAAGTTAATGAGATATCACTTTTGATTAATAATAAGGCGAAAGATAAAAAGGGACTTTCAAACGCATAGGTCGAAAATAATGTGAAAACGCCAAGGCAAAAGACAGAAACAACCAAAAGATAAACAACAGTATACCAAACACAACATGGAAAACTAAAGACTGAGCAACACGAACCCACCAAAAATGGGGGTGATCGCAGGTGCAATGAAAGCGTAAGAAGATCCTGCTATGTCACCCGTCGAGGTGTTCATGTTAGTACAAATCCACTATAATTTATTTTCTTTATAAGATGTCATATGTAGGTTCAAAAATATCTTATTTGACATATATAAAAAAAGTAAAATGAAAAATACCGAACTCCAAGGAAAATTAAAAACGAAAGACCCTTATCAAATGGCAAAATCAAAAGCTTAAACACATCAAACAAATGGAAAACAACTGACATATTCCTGACTTGATACATGTATTTCCTTAAGTAGAAAATGGTGGATTTAACCTGGTTTTATAGCTAGCTAAACCTCTCATTTGTATGACAGTCGCATAAAACGTCTCATGAATTATATTAGATATTTTATTAATTTCAAACTACATTAAATATTTAATAAATATTTCAAAATATACTGTATACTTTACAAGATATATAATTTGATATATCATGTTATCTTATTTTATCTATACGATACATTATCTGCGCCTGTCCAAAATTATGAGCCTCTGGCCTTTGTTATGTTTTTTTTAATTTGAGTTCATTTATATGTTTTGGAGTTTAATGTGACCTCCGTTTTCATTGTACTAGTACACTTTTTTGTAAAGGGGCCAGCTGAAGCCCGCCTCCGGGAAGCCATATTTTCTCGCTGCGTTGAAGACCCATTGGTTGCCTTCGGCTGATTCCTGTTCTTTGGTCGGGTTGTTGTCTCTTTGACACATTCCCCATTTCAATTCTCAATTTTATCTTCTTTAGTTTATAAGATACCTTATTTAGTGAATATATATATATATATATATATATATATATATAAACAAGTCTAAATTGAAAACAACGTTCAAACCTATGATTGCGTTGGATAAAAACCGCATTTTTTATACGTGTGCACGAAAACAAATTTCTTGGTAGAGGGGGTCCAAATACAGCACAAACAACATTTTCCAAAAGACCAAATGAGTGAAAAAGTATATTTTAACAAAACGCATTTGACTAGCAGGTCGAACAACTGATGTTCTTAAACCCTGCTGACTGCCATTGCCAAATAAACGGATCACAAGATGTAACAAAATAGATCTTATTATTAATTTACCAAACAGAAAACAATAAACTTGCGGAAAAGATGGTATACCGCAAACACGAGGTGCAAAAATTTGTACACCATATCCGGATTTCGACAATTAATGTCTCTTCAGTAATGTTAGGAATCGAAACGGTATTTGGAAGGCCATATAATTTACCTCAATTTAGGATAGACTCTTGAATTTTGAAAGAGTCAAAATAGGATGAACGGATCATATAAACCCGAAGGCAAATATAATACAAGCCCAAACGAAAAAATATAAACAAGTCTAAATTGAAAACAACGTTCAAACCTATGATTGCGTTGGATAAAAACCGCAATTTTTATACGTGTGCATGCAAAACAAATTTCTTGGTAGAGGGGGTCCAAATACAGCACAAACAACATTTTCCAAAAGACCAAATGATATATATATATATATAAATATATATTTGTTTAAAATGAAAAAAAATATATAATTTCATTATAACAGTTGATAAGATTTAAAAATTAATAAATAAGATATCATAGCACTTGAATAACATCTAATTGATTAATAAGAGTATTTAGTAATGGTTTTAATAGATATTATATTTGATTTAAAATATACCTCAATGTGTTAAATATCTTATTCATTTAATTTAGCTATCTTATTTAATACAATATTTGATTAACTTTATAAGATATCTGATGAACTTTATAAGATATCTGATTAACGTTATAAGATATCTGATTATTTTTTTTTAGATATCTGATTAACGTTATAATATATCTGATTAACTTTATAAGATATCTGATTAACGTTATACGATATCTGATAAACTTTATAAGATATCTGATTAACTTTATAAGATATCTGATTAACTTTAAAAGACATCTGATTAGTTTTATAAGATATCTGATTAACTTGGTTATATATCTGATTGACTTGATTAGATATCTGATTACCTTTATTAACTTTATAAGATATCTGATTAACTTCATAAGATATCTGATCAACTTGGTTAGATATCTGATTAACTTGGTTAGATATCTGATTAACTTTATAAGATATATGATTAACTTATTTATACATCTGATTAAATTCATTAGATATTTGATTAGCTGTAAAATATTTTATTAACTGAACAGATGTATAAGATATCTTGAAAATAGAATACATATTAAAACGGCCTGCCATATTCCGGTCTCAAATTTGTATATATCATTGCAGATTCAAACGTATCCATTTCTGTTATTTAACAATTCAAGATAAAGGAGGGAAATGTTAATTTGCACAGGCATATTTATTCTGAAATTGTTTTTATAAGTTGAATTAATTCTACTCTTCAGATAGCCGATTTTTAACTCCGTAGTCTATCATTTTTTGACAGGTTACCTACCCTTTGTTAATACATTGTGATACTTGTTCAACTAAGAGAAACTTAAAGAAATAAAAGCAGGCTTACAATCAGTCCAATTTTGGGGAAAAGTGAACTTTTTGCAAAGATTTGGAATGCATAGAAAATCTAAAACAGTAAATTATTTCCCCAAATAGCACCGACCGTAATCTTGCTCTTACTTGACCTAGTATTAGAATTTCCTACCACATTGTAGGTAACCTGTTTAAAAAAAATATATACTCCGTCAAACGTCGGTTATATGTACATAGACTATTCCCTCTCATGCCAGAACAGTAGTTTTCAATAATTTGATATCTTGATTCAATTTCCTGCCCTGAACTTTGCTCTATAGACATGATGGAAGCACATAAATACATGTAAATCAGCTTATATATAAGTAGAAATATAATTAGAAAACTCTCCTCAAAAGACTAAAGACATGCAAATACATGTTCATGATTGACCATATTATCTTTTTTTTTTAAGTTCATTTTGATTGACAACTGGATTTGTAAAGTATAACCGAAAACTACATACTGACAAATCATTTGATATTCAAGTTATGAAATGTTTCATTTTCTTGACAGGCTACATGCGCTTGACACCAGTAAAGTATAGCCGAAAACTACATACTGACAAATCATTTGATATTCAAGTTATGAAATGTTTCATTTTCTTGACAGGCTACATGCGCTTGACACCAGTAAAGTATATCCGAAAACTACATACTGACAAATCATTTGATATTCAAGCTATGAAATGTTTCATTTTCTTGACAGGCTACATGCGCTTGACACCAGTAAAGTATAGCCGAAAACTACATGTTGGAACAAGTCATTTGATTTTCAATTCATTAAATGTTTCATTTTCTTTACAGACTTGAGTTTAGAGTCCATTCGCTTGTCACTAGTCAGCAAAATGGTATTTTCCCCAGTTGTTCAAATAGACACAATTACATTTTAAGTTGTTTTTTTCTCCAGAATAAGTCTGTATATATTGACTATATTTTTTATAAACGTTTAATTTTAGTATCTTTAATGATGTGTTTTCTTTTTTATGAGTATATAATATTCAAACGAAGTCTGAACTTACCTGTAGTGCTATCAGTTGTACTTGCTGGATTATCTGTTGAAGCAAAAGATGGAAATGCTTCTGTTGTTTCTAAATATGACGACAAAATGTGAAAAAAGAAGGCATTTAAACAAGTAACAATCCATCAATCCATCAATCGTTCAATAAAATGACTAAGAACATTGGGGAAAATAATTCTTAAACAAACAAACAACAGCTTGAAGAAGAAATGAAATTGTTGACAATTGTTTTCACAGGAAAAATCAATGTGTTAACTATACCAGCAACAAACCATGTTTCAATGATTGCACAGGTAATGCTCCCATGCCATGTCGTAACTTGTTATTAGTAAAAAATAATGATTGAGAAAAAAAGGTAAAATTGTGATAGGACAAACAGATACATATTTACAAAGAAGTTGGCCAGAATTTGAATACAGAAAATTAGAGATACATTTACTAACGAATATAAGTAAATTCATAAAGAATTAAAATCAAATTTTAGTATAAAACACCTAATTGACGACGTATTTTCGTATATATAAATAAACAAATCGCAAACACAGTCAATAGGTCTCAAACTACGTGTTACTGTATTGAACATATGTTTGTTAGGTTGACCTCTCTTTCTGTAAAGTATAACAACTAATAACAGGATAATTCATATCCAGAGAAAGATATGTTTAACTTGTCAAATTCAACACAGGTATCAGTGTTGTATGAATGTGCGTATCCTGAGAAAGGAATATTACAATGTTGTTCAAAGCAAGAACAATGAACTATGTTTCCCCCTGAAATAAAATCAATATATATGGACATTTCTGTTAATTGACGTTTAATGTTAGAATATTTCGTATTGTGAATACAATTTTTTATCCCTAAAAATACAATGTTTATCCTCATTATCAAAAAGAAATTTGGTCTTACCTGTACTAGTTATAATAAGGCTTGTTTGCTGCTGGGGAAGAGTTGATGTTTCTTCTCTATGTTCTGTTGTTATTTCTGATTAACACAATGTTTCAAACAGAAAAAAAAAATCATTTAAAATGTTTAAGTCTACACTGAAGTTTCGTATTTGTTTCAATAAATGGATTTTAATCCAAAATGCAATACACAAATCGAAAGAACAGTCCATGTGATGTAAGAACGAGACAAATACATGATTAATACTTGGTATATTCAAAGATCGAACGCCATGCGTACAAATGCACTGTCATTAAACTTTCAAGACCGTCATAATAATGATAATTATTAGGACTAGTATTGTGAAAATAATTTGTTAATTTGTGGATCTCTTTCCATATAATTGTATGAATTTCAAGATTACCTGTGATAATATATAAGTCACTTTTTGTGGCGTTTATCAATTAATGTGACGCGCAGTTTGTGGTTTCCTGTGCTGTCGTTAATGTATGGGAGATGTCCGTTGTTATTCTACGGTTTACATGTTGTAATGTACTATTATATTATTCATTTATGTATTTCTCTGTGCTAAGTGTTCTTGCGTTTGTGTGTACTGTATTTCTGTCACGGAGTGTTGTCGTTTTGGCGATAGTTTTTGACATTGCCATATGAGGGGAATGTTTGGCTAGCCATAAAACCAGGTTCAACCCACCATTTTTTCTTAAAATGTCCTGTACCAAGTCAGTAATATGACAGTTGTTATCTAAATATGCCGTTTCTATGTATCTTGGCGTTTCTTTTTGTTGCAGTTCAGCGTTTCTGTTGTTCTTTTGTTTTTCTCTTATAGTTGATGTGTTTCCCTCGGTTTTAGTTTGTAACCTGGGTTTGTTTTCTCTTAATCGATTTTTAACTTTTGAACAGCGGTATACTACTGTTGCCTTTATTCATTAAAGTTAAAATACATGTTTTATGTGACATGTACAAGTTGTCAAGCGTTCAAAGATAAGATTCAAATGTTATAACAAATGGAAATAATGAATGTGGCAGTTTTCAGATCTTTGAAATTAAGTAAAATTGAGAATGGAAATGGGGAAATTTGTCAAAGAGACAACAACCCGACCATAGAGCAGACAACAGCCGAAGGCCACCAATGGGTCTTCAATGCAGCGAGAAACTCCCGCACCCGGAGGCGTCCTTCAGCTAGCCCCTAAACAAATATGTATACTAGTTCAGTGATAATGGACGTCATACTAAACTCCAAATTATACACAAGAAACTAAAATTAAAAATGATACAAGACTAGCAATGGCCAGAGGTTCCTGACTCGGGACAGGCGCAAAAAATGCGGCGGGATAAAACATGTTTTTTGAAATCTCAACCCTCCCCCTATACCGCTAGCCAATGTAGAAAAAACAAACGTACAACAGTACGCACAGTAAAACTCAGTTTAAGAGAAGTCCGAGTCCGATGTCAGAATATGAAACAAAAGAAAATAAACAAAATGACAATAATACATAAATAACAACAGACTACTAGCAGTTAGGGACATGCCAGCTCCAGACCTCAATTAAACTGATTGAAAGATTATGTCTTCATCATATGAATATCAGGCACAATCCCTCCTGTTAGGGGTTTAGTATTATACCGTCATAAAATATATGAGAAGTACATAACCCGTGTCATGCCAACAACTGGTTTTAGAATAAATATGTTTAATTCCGATGCAAAGACCATATAAGTGAATCAATATTAAAGCCAAAATATGCAATTTTTAATGACCTGACAACAGTATCGTAACTATATCCCTTCTTAATAAGTCTTATTAAAGGTTTTGTTAGCTTTTGAGGTGAATACTGACATTTTTGTGCTTTGTAAAGAATATTACCATAAAGATTGGATGTGAAATACCCGAACGTATAAGATGTCTGCATGTTGAGTTATATTTACGAATGATATCCTTATACCGATGATAAAATTTAGTAAATGTTTTGACTAGTTTATGATATCGAAAACCCTGGTGTAATAATTTTTCAATAATACATAAATTTTTCTCGCTAAAATCTAATACGTTGTTACATACACGAGCGAATCGTACAAGTTGAGATATATAAACACCATAAGATGGTGACAAGGGAATTTCGTATATATAAGTAAACAAATCGCAAACACAGTCAATAGGTCTCAAACTACGTGTTACTGTATTGAACATATGTTTGTTAGGTTGACCTCTCTTTCTGTAAAGTATAACAACTAATAACAGGATAATTCATATCCAGAGAAAGATATGTTTAACTTGTCAAATTCAACACAGGTATCAGTGTTGTATGAATGTGCGTATCCTGAGAAAGGAATATTACAATGTTGTTCAAAGCAAGAACAATGAACTATGTTTCCCCCTGAAATAAAATCAATATATATGGACATTTCTGTTAATTGACGTTTAATGTTAGAATATTTCGTATTGTGAATACAATTTTTTATCCCTAAAAATACAATGTTTATCCTCATTATCAAAAAGAAATTTGGTCTTACCTGTACTAGTTATAATAAGGCTTGTTTGCTGCTGGGGAAGAGTTGATGTTTCTTCTCTATGTTCTGTTGTTATTTCTGATTAACACAATGTTTCAAACAGAAAAAAAAAAATCATTTAAAATGTTTAAGTCTACACTGAAGTTTCGTATTTGTTTCAATAAATGGATTTTAATCCAAAATGCAATACACAAATCGAAAGAACAGTCCATGTGATGTAAGAACGAGACAAATACATGATTAATACTTGGTATATTCAAAGATCGAACGCCATGCGTACAAATGCACTGTCATTAAACTTTCAAGACCGTCATAATAATGATAATTATTAGGACTAGTATTGTGAAAATAATTTGTTAATTTGTGGATCTCTTTCCATATAATTGTATGAATTTCAAGATTACCTGTGATAATATATAAGTCACTTTTTGTGGCGTTTATCAATTAATGTGACGCGCAGTTTGTGGTTTCCTGTGCTGTCGTTAATGTATGGGAGATGTCCGTTGTTATTCTACGGTTTACATGTTGTAATGTACTATTATATTATTCATTTATGTATTTCTCTGTGCTAAGTGTTCTTGCGTTTGTGTGTACTGTATTTCTGTCACGGAGTGTTGTCGTTTTGGCGATAGTTTTTGACATTGCCATATGAGGGGAATGTTTGGCTAGCCATAAAACCAGGTTCAACCCACCATTTTTTCTTAAAATGTCCTGTACCAAGTCAGTAATATGACAGTTGTTATCTAAATATGCCGTTTCTATGTATCTTGGCGTTTCTTTTTGTTGCAGTTCAGCGTTTCTGTTGTTCTTTTGTTTTTCTCTTATAGTTGATGTGTTTCCCTCGGTTTTAGTTTGTAACCTGGGTTTGTTTTCTCTTAATCGATTTTTAACTTTTGAACAGCGGTATACTACTGTTGCCTTTATTCATTAAAGTTAAAATACATGTTTTATGTGACATGTACAAGTTGTCAAGCGTTCAAAGATAAGATTCAAATGTTATAACAAATGGAAATAATGAATGTGGCAGTTTTCAGATCTTTGAAATTAAGTAAAATTGAGAATGGAAATGGGGAAATTTGTCAAAGAGACAACAACCCGACCATAGAGCAGACAACAGCCGAAGGCCACCAATGGGTCTTCAATGCAGCGAGAAACTCCCGCACCCGGAGGCGTCCTTCAGCTAGCCCCTAAACAAATATGTATACTAGTTCAGTGATAATGGACGTCATACTAAACTCCAAATTATACACAAGAAACTAAAATTAAAAATGATACAAGACTAGCAATGGCCAGAGGTTCCTGACTCGGGACAGGCGCAAAAAATGCGGCGGGATAAAACATGTTTTTTGAAATCTCAACCCTCCCCCTATACCGCTAGCCAATGTAGAAAAAACAAACGTACAACAGTACGCACAGTAAAACTCAGTTTAAGAGAAGTCCGAGTCCGATGTCAGAATATGAAACAAAAGAAAATAAACAAAATGACAATAATACATAAATAACAACAGACTACTAGCAGTTAGGGACATGCCAGCTCCAGACCTCAATTAAACTGATTGAAAGATTATGTCTTCATCATATGAATATCAGGCACAATCCCTCCTGTTAGGGGTTTAGTATTATACCGTCATAAAATATATGAGAAGTACATAACCCGTGTCATGCCAACAACTGGTTTTAGAATAAATATGTTTAATTCCGATGCAAAGACCATATAAGTGAATCAATATTAAAGCCAAAATATGCAATTTTTAATGACCTGACAACAGTATCGTAACTATATCCCTTCTTAATAAGTCTTATTAAAGGTTTTGTTAGCTTTTGAGGTGAATACTGACATTTTTGTGCTTTGTAAAGAATATTACCATAAAGATTGGATGTGAAATACCCGAACGTATAAGATGTCTGCATGTTGAGTTATATTTACGAATGATATCCTTATACCGATGATAAAATTTAGTAAATGTTTTGACTAGTTTATGATATCGAAAACCCTGGTGTAATAATTTTTCAATAATACATAAATTTTTCTCGCTAAAATCTAATACGTTGTTACATACACGAGCGAATCGTACAAGTTGAGATATATAAACACCATAAGATGGTGACAAGGGAATTTCGTATATATAAGTAAACAAATCGCAAACACAGTCAATAGGTCTCAAACTACGTGTTACTGTATTGAACATATGTTTGTTAGGTTGACCTCTCTTTCTGTAAAGTATAACAACTAATAACAGGATAATTCATATCCAGAGAAAGATATGTTTAACTTGTCAAATTCAACACAGGTATCAGTGTTGTATGAATGTGCGTATCCTGAGAAAGGAATATTACAATGTTGTTCAAAGCAAGAACAATGAACTATGTTTCCCCCTGAAATAAAATCAATATATATGGACATTTCTGTTAATTGACGTTTAATGTTAGAATATTTCGTATTGTGAATACAATTTTTTATCCCTAAAAATACAATGTTTATCCTCATTATCAAAAAGAAATTTGGTCTTACCTGTACTAGTTATAATAAGGCTTGTTTGCTGCTGGGGAAGAGTTGATGTTTCTTCTCTATGTTCTGTTGTTATTTCTGATTAACACAATGTTTCAAACAGAAAAAAAAAAATCATTTAAAATGTTTAAGTCTACACTGAAGTTTCGTATTTGTTTCAATAAATGGATTTTAATCCAAAATGCAATACACAAATCGAAAGAACAGTCCATGTGATGTAAGAACGAGACAAATACATGATTAATACTTGGTATATTCAAAGATCGAACGCCATGCGTACAAATGCACTGTCATTAAACTTTCAAGACCGTCATAATAATGATAATTATTAGGACTAGTATTGTGAAAATAATTTGTTAATTTGTGGATCTCTTTCCATATAATTGTATGAATTTCAAGATTACCTGTGATAATATATAAGTCACTTTTTGTGGCGTTTATCAATTAATGTGACGCGCAGTTTGTGGTTTCCTGTGCTGTCGTTAATGTATGGGAGATGTCCGTTGTTATTCTACGGTTTACATGTTGTAATGTACTATTATATTATTCATTTATGTATTTCTCTGTGCTAAGTGTTCTTGCGTTTGTGTGTACTGTATTTCTGTCACGGAGTGTTGTCGTTTTGGCGATAGTTTTTGACATTGCCATATGAGGGGAATGTTTGGCTAGCCATAAAACCAGGTTCAACCCACCATTTTTTCTTAAAATGTCCTGTACCAAGTCAGTAATATGACAGTTGTTATCTAAATATGCCGTTTCTATGTATCTTGGCGTTTCTTTTTGTTGCAGTTCAGCGTTTCTGTTGTTCTTTTGTTTTTCTCTTATAGTTGATGTGTTTCCCTCGGTTTTAGTTTGTAACCTGGGTTTGTTTTCTCTTAATCGATTTTTAACTTTTGAACAGCGGTATACTACTGTTGCCTTTATTCATTAAAGTTAAAATACATGTTTTATGTGACATGTACAAGTTGTCAAGCGTTCAAAGATAAGATTCAAATGTTATAACAAATGGAAATAATGAATGTGGCAGTTTTCAGATCTTTGAAATTAAGTAAAATTGAGAATGGAAATGGGGAAATTTGTCAAAGAGACAACAACCCGACCATAGAGCAGACAACAGCCGAAGGCCACCAATGGGTCTTCAATGCAGCGAGAAACTCCCGCACCCGGAGGCGTCCTTCAGCTAGCCCCTAAACAAATATGTATACTAGTTCAGTGATAATGGACGTCATACTAAACTCCAAATTATACACAAGAAACTAAAATTAAAAATGATACAAGACTAGCAATGGCCAGAGGTTCCTGACTCGGGACAGGCGCAAAAAATGCGGCGGGATAAAACATGTTTTTTGAAATCTCAACCCTCCCCCTATACCGCTAGCCAATGTAGAAAAAACAAACGTACAACAGTACGCACAGTAAAACTCAGTTTAAGAGAAGTCCGAGTCCGATGTCAGAATATGAAACAAAAGAAAATAAACAAAATGACAATAATACATAAATAACAACAGACTACTAGCAGTTAGGGACATGCCAGCTCCAGACCTCAATTAAACTGATTGAAAGATTATGTCTTCATCATATGAATATCAGGCACAATCCCTCCTGTTAGGGGTTTAGTATTATACCGTCATAAAATATATGAGAAGTACATAACCCGTGTCATGCCAACAACTGGTTTTAGAATAAATATGTTTAATTCCGATGCAAAGACCATATAAGTGAATCAATATTAAAGCCAAAATATGCAATTTTTAATGACCTGACAACAGTATCGTAACTATATCCCTTCTTAATAAGTCTTATTAAAGGTTTTGTTAGCTTTTGAGGTGAATACTGACATTTTTGTGCTTTGTAAAGAATATTACCATAAAGATTGGATGTGAAATACCCGAACGTATAAGATGTCTGCATGTTGAGTTATATTTACGAATGATATCCTTATACCGATGATAAAATTTAGTAAATGTTTTGACTAGTTTATGATATCGAAAACCCTGGTGTAATAATTTTTCAATAATACATAAATTTTTCTCGCTAAAATCTAATACGTTGTTACATACACGAGCGAATCGTACAAGTTGAGATATATAAACACCATAAGATGGTGACAAGGGAATTTCGTATATATAAGTAAACAAATCGCAAACACAGTCAATAGGTCTCAAACTACGTGTTACTGTATTGAACATATGTTTGTTAGGTTGACCTCTCTTTCTGTAAAGTATAACAACTAATAACAGGATAATTCATATCCAGAGAAAGATATGTTTAACTTGTCAAATTCAACACAGGTATCAGTGTTGTATGAATGTGCGTATCCTGAGAAAGGAATATTACAATGTTGTTCAAAGCAAGAACAATGAACTATGTTTCCCCCTGAAATAAAATCAATATATATGGACATTTCTGTTAATTGACGTTTAATGTTAGAATATTTCGTATTGTGAATACAATTTTTTATCCCTAAAAATACAATGTTTATCCTCATTATCAAAAAGAAATTTGGTCTTACCTGTACTAGTTATAATAAGGCTTGTTTGCTGCTGGGGAAGAGTTGATGTTTCTTCTCTATGTTCTGTTGTTATTTCTGATTAACACAATGTTTCAAACAGAAAAAAAAAAATCATTTAAAATGTTTAAGTCTACACTGAAGTTTCGTATTTGTTTCAATAAATGGATTTTAATCCAAAATGCAATACACAAATCGAAAGAACAGTCCATGTGATGTAAGAACGAGACAAATACATGATTAATACTTGGTATATTCAAAGATCGAACGCCATGCGTACAAATGCACTGTCATTAAACTTTCAAGACCGTCATAATAATGATAATTATTAGGACTAGTATTGTGAAAATAATTTGTTAATTTGTGGATCTCTTTCCATATAATTGTATGAATTTCAAGATTACCTGTGATAATATATAAGTCACTTTTTGTGGCGTTTATCAATTAATGTGACGCGCAGTTTGTGGTTTCCTGTGCTGTCGTTAATGTATGGGAGATGTCCGTTGTTATTCTACGGTTTACATGTTGTAATGTACTATTATATTATTCATTTATGTATTTCTCTGTGCTAAGTGTTCTTGCGTTTGTGTGTACTGTATTTCTGTCACGGAGTGTTGTCGTTTTGGCGATAGTTTTTGACATTGCCATATGAGGGGAATGTTTGGCTAGCCATAAAACCAGGTTCAACCCACCATTTTTTCTTAAAATGTCCTGTACCAAGTCAGTAATATGACAGTTGTTATCTAAATATGCCGTTTCTATGTATCTTGGCGTTTCTTTTTGTTGCAGTTCAGCGTTTCTGTTGTTCTTTTGTTTTTCTCTTATAGTTGATGTGTTTCCCTCGGTTTTAGTTTGTAACCTGGGTTTGTTTTCTCTTAATCGATTTTTAACTTTTGAACAGCGGTATACTACTGTTGCCTTTATTCATTAAAGTTAAAATACATGTTTTATGTGACATGTACAAGTTGTCAAGCGTTCAAAGATAAGATTCAAATGTTATAACAAATGGAAATAATGAATGTGGCAGTTTTCAGATCTTTGAAATTAAGTAAAATTGAGAATGGAAATGGGGAAATTTGTCAAAGAGACAACAACCCGACCATAGAGCAGACAACAGCCGAAGGCCACCAATGGGTCTTCAATGCAGCGAGAAACTCCCGCACCCGGAGGCGTCCTTCAGCTAGCCCCTAAACAAATATGTATACTAGTTCAGTGATAATGGACGTCATACTAAACTCCAAATTATACACAAGAAACTAAAATTAAAAATGATACAAGACTAGCAATGGCCAGAGGTTCCTGACTCGGGACAGGCGCAAAAAATGCGGCGGGATAAAACATGTTTTTTGAAATCTCAACCCTCCCCCTATACCGCTAGCCAATGTAGAAAAAACAAACGTACAACAGTACGCACAGTAAAACTCAGTTTAAGAGAAGTCCGAGTCCGATGTCAGAATATGAAACAAAAGAAAATAAACAAAATGACAATAATACATAAATAACAACAGACTACTAGCAGTTAGGGACATGCCAGCTCCAGACCTCAATTAAACTGATTGAAAGATTATGTCTTCATCATATGAATATCAGGCACAATCCCTCCTGTTAGGGGTTTAGTATTATACCGTCATAAAATATATGAGAAGTACATAACCCGTGTCATGCCAACAACTGGTTTTAGAATAAATATGTTTAATTCCGATGCAAAGACCATATAAGTGAATCAATATTAAAGCCAAAATATGCAATTTTTAATGACCTGACAACAGTATCGTAACTATATCCCTTCTTAATAAGTCTTATTAAAGGTTTTGTTAGCTTTTGAGGTGAATACTGACATTTTTGTGCTTTGTAAAGAATATTACCATAAAGATTGGATGTGAAATACCCGAACGTATAAGATGTCTGCATGTTGAGTTATATTTACGAATGATATCCTTATACCGATGATAAAATTTAGTAAATGTTTTGACTAGTTTATGATATCGAAAACCCTGGTGTAATAATTTTTCAATAATACATAAATTTTTCTCGCTAAAATCTAATACGTTGTTACATACACGAGCGAATCGTACAAGTTGAGATATATAAACACCATAAGATGGTGACAAGGGAATTTCGTATATATAAGTAAACAAATCGCAAACACAGTCAATAGGTCTCAAACTACGTGTTACTGTATTGAACATATGTTTGTTAGGTTGACCTCTCTTTCTGTAAAGTATAACAACTAATAACAGGATAATTCATATCCAGAGAAAGATATGTTTAACTTGTCAAATTCAACACAGGTATCAGTGTTGTATGAATGTGCGTATCCTGAGAAAGGAATATTACAATGTTGTTCAAAGCAAGAACAATGAACTATGTTTCCCCCTGAAATAAAATCAATATATATGGACATTTCTGTTAATTGACGTTTAATGTTAGAATATTTCGTATTGTGAATACAATTTTTTATCCCTAAAAATACAATGTTTATCCTCATTATCAAAAAGAAATTTGGTCTTACCTGTACTAGTTATAATAAGGCTTGTTTGCTGCTGGGGAAGAGTTGATGTTTCTTCTCTATGTTCTGTTGTTATTTCTGATTAACACAATGTTTCAAACAGAAAAAAAAAAATCATTTAAAATGTTTAAGTCTACACTGAAGTTTCGTATTTGTTTCAATAAATGGATTTTAATCCAAAATGCAATACACAAATCGAAAGAACAGTCCATGTGATGTAAGAACGAGACAAATACATGATTAATACTTGGTATATTCAAAGATCGAACGCCATGCGTACAAATGCACTGTCATTAAACTTTCAAGACCGTCATAATAATGATAATTATTAGGACTAGTATTGTGAAAATAATTTGTTAATTTGTGGATCTCTTTCCATATAATTGTATGAATTTCAAGATTACCTGTGATAATATATAAGTCACTTTTTGTGGCGTTTATCAATTAATGTGACGCGCAGTTTGTGGTTTCCTGTGCTGTCGTTAATGTATGGGAGATGTCCGTTGTTATTCTACGGTTTACATGTTGTAATGTACTATTATATTATTCATTTATGTATTTCTCTGTGCTAAGTGTTCTTGCGTTTGTGTGTACTGTATTTCTGTCACGGAGTGTTGTCGTTTTGGCGATAGTTTTTGACATTGCCATATGAGGGGAATGTTTGGCTAGCCATAAAACCAGGTTCAACCCACCATTTTTTCTTAAAATGTCCTGTACCAAGTCAGTAATATGACAGTTGTTATCTAAATATGCCGTTTCTATGTATCTTGGCGTTTCTTTTTGTTGCAGTTCAGCGTTTCTGTTGTTCTTTTGTTTTTCTCTTATAGTTGATGTGTTTCCCTCGGTTTTAGTTTGTAACCTGGGTTTGTTTTCTCTTAATCGATTTTTAACTTTTGAACAGCGGTATACTACTGTTGCCTTTATTCATTAAAGTTAAAATACATGTTTTATGTGACATGTACAAGTTGTCAAGCGTTCAAAGATAAGATTCAAATGTTATAACAAATGGAAATAATGAATGTGGCAGTTTTCAGATCTTTGAAATTAAGTAAAATTGAGAATGGAAATGGGGAAATTTGTCAAAGAGACAACAACCCGACCATAGAGCAGACAACAGCCGAAGGCCACCAATGGGTCTTCAATGCAGCGAGAAACTCCCGCACCCGGAGGCGTCCTTCAGCTAGCCCCTAAACAAATATGTATACTAGTTCAGTGATAATGGACGTCATACTAAACTCCAAATTATACACAAGAAACTAAAATTAAAAATGATACAAGACTAGCAATGGCCAGAGGTTCCTGACTCGGGACAGGCGCAAAAAATGCGGCGGGATAAAACATGTTTTTTGAGATCTCAACCCTCCCCCTATACCGCTAGCCAATGTAGAAAAAACAAACGTACAACAGTACGCACAGTAAAACTCAGTTTAAGAGAAGTCCGAGTCCGATGTCAGAATATGAAACAAAAGAAAATAAACAAAATGACAATAATACATAAATAACAACAGACTACTAGCAGTTAGGGACATGCCAGCTCCAGACCTCAATTAAACTGATTGAAAGATTATGTCTTCATCATATGAATATCAGGCACAATCCCTCCTGTTAGGGGTTTAGTATTATACCGTCATAAAATATATGAGAAGTACATAACCCGTGTCATGCCAACAACTGGTTTTAGAATAAATATGTTTAATTCCGATGCAAAGACCATATAAGTGAATCAATATTAAAGCCAAAATATGCAATTTTTAATGACCTGACAACAGTATCGTAACTATATCCCTTCTTAATAAGTCTTATTAAAGGTTTTGTTAGCTTTTGAGGTGAATACTGACATTTTTGTGCTTTGTAAAGAATATTACCATAAAGATTGGATGTGAAATACCCGAACGTATAAGATGTCTGCATGTTGAGTTATATTTACGAATGATATCCTTATACCGATGATAAAATTTAGTAAATGTTTTGACTAGTTTATGATATCGAAAACCCTGGTGTAATAATTTTTCAATAATACATAAATTTTTCTCGCTAAAATCTAATACGTTGTTACATACACGAGCGAATCGTACAAGTTGAGATATATAAACACCATAAGATGGTGACAAGGGAACGTCACCATCTAAAAATGGATAATTAACGATAGGAAATGAAAAATCATCTCTTTTATCATAAATTTTTGTATTTAGCTTCCCGTTAATGATATAGATATCAAGATCAAGGAAAGGACAGTGGTCATTTTTAGTAATAGCTTTATTTAAAGTAAGTTCAACAGGATAAATTTCTTTAGTATATATACTGAAGTCGTCATTATTGAGAGCCAATATATCATCCAAATATCTAAAAGTCTTGTTAAATTTTTGTATGAGATGTTGCTTCGATGGGTCTTTGTAAAGTAAACTTCTTTTAACTGATGAAACGTTTTCTAGACTGAAAATAACTAATAAATAATGTTCAGTGACGAAAATATTATAAGACACATCTACAACTGTAATCATCACTCATTATATTATACAAAATCTTTTTTTTATTAATTTCTAAGTTTTGTTCCCATGTTGAACCCCCCCCCCCCCCCCCAAATAAAAGAGAAAACAAACATAAGAGAGAGAGGATACCAAGGGGACAATAAAACATCACGTGTAATACAAACAGAAAACACTAGGGTGTATAGTTCTAGTCTATTGTTGCCCCTAACAGGATAGAGAGGATACCAAGGAGACAATCTAACATCACGTCTAAAAAATTAAAAGAAAACTAGTATAGTTCTAAATATACTACCTTTGCAGTTGGTGAAGTCATGATCAATTAATTGTTTGTTGTCACACGATGCACCGGAAACATACATATTTCTTTTATTTCGCAGAAATTCCTGGAACTTTTTTAATTCACATTTGGAACAGTCCAGTGGATTATTGTCTAAGTACCTGTTGATACCAACAATCCAACAAAACAAATTTAATTTTAGTTGATTTGAAGCAAAATACAAAACTTAAATCATCTAAAGCCATATAAACAGAATACACAATGTCGGTTTCAATTATTGATTGACTGTTATATCGGTATTTTGTGTAGTTTGTCCTTTTGATATTGATTGGTCCTTGTTCTAAATTCCTTCTGATGTGTTACATTGTAATTAATTGTAATCGTCTTTGAATAATCTGTTGATGACTGACTCTTAGATCGGTTTGTTGAATCTTTTATCTTGTGTTAGTTGTTTTGTGCGTCGTTAAAATCTGATAAGTCAGTCCTTTTTGAAATGATGTACAGCTTGTTCTTCTTTTATGTTGTTACAAAATTGTTCAAGGTGAGGAGAGAATGTTTAATTCCGCCACTGTAAACATGTAGTATTCAACGATATATACTTGAAATAAAGTGGTTGTCGTTGGTGAGTTGAAACATTTTTTATTGTTGAGAAGAACAAAAAATCAGAGAAAAGTGTTCAATTAAGTCTAATTTGCCCAACGTCTGCCATGTGTTCTTGTCTGTCATATCTGATTTTTTTATTTGTGTAGTACTAAGGCGGTCGTTGGTTATCCAATTTTTCAATTTTTGAACATTTTGTTGTTTTGGGCCTTTTAAAGCTTACAATATGGTTCAGGTTTTTTTTTTAAATTGTTGAAAGTGGTACTGTAGCCTGATTTTATTTATCTTTCGTTTTCGGTCTATAGATAGTTTTGCCATTGGTAATCATACACCACATCTCCCTGTCTTTGTATTGAATATAACGGAGTTATTTTAATATTAAATAGACTTGATATCATTTAAACTGATAATGAAATTTCAATCATAAACCAATTTGCAAATAGTATACTTTTAAAAGAGGGACGAAAGATACCAGAGGGACAGTCAAACTCATAGATCGAAAACAAACTGACAACACCATGGCCAAAAATAAAAAGACAAACAGACAAATAATAGTACAGATGACACAACATAGAAAACTAAAGACTTAGCAACACGAACCCCACCAACAACTGGGGGTGATCTCAGGTGCTCCGGAATGGTAAGCAGATCCTGCTCCACATGTGGCACCCGTAGTGTTGCTTATGTAATTACAAATCCGGTAAATAGTCTAATTCAGTAAGTCACATTCGTGAAAAGGGAAGAGTATTGTAGTGACGACATAAGGAACATATCCGATATCATCTGTGAAACGATTATTCCATAACGGTCAACCAACTCGTGATGGCGTCCGTAAAATTTACGAAGAGATGATTTCAACTTCACCATTTGGAACTCTTGGTTTAATAAAGGCAACAGTAATATACCGCTGTTCGAAACTCATAAATCGATAGAGTTAAAAACAAATCCGGGTTACAAACTAAAACTGAGGGAAACGCATCAAATATAAGAGGAGAACAACGACACAACAAAAACACAACATTAAAATGTAAAACACACAGAAACGAACTATAATATAACAATGGCCATTTTCCTGACTTGGTATAGGACATTTTAAGAAAAAAATGGTGGGTTGAACCTGGTTTTGTGGCATGCCAAACCTCCCACTTTTATGGCAACGTCAAACACAACACCAAAACGACAACATCACATGACAGGACCACAATACAAATAAATGGGAGAACATATAGGACAAAGAAACACACGAATAATAGCTAGCAGAAGGTACTAGGCTTAAAATTCAATACGCCAGACGTGCGTCTCGTCCACACAAGACCAACCAGTGAGCAGCAAACCTCTATCAAGGAAATCATGATAGGAAATACAAGCCCGGGAATATCGTATCAATTGGGAGATACATAATCCGTATGTAGGCGCTGCTGGAATGTTGCTACATAGAAATGGAAAGTTCACAATTGGGAAGCTGAAATCATCTCTTTTGTCGTAAAGTTTTGTTTTCAACCGACCCTCATTGTCAATTTCTAGATGTAAGTCAAGATATGAGGGCGACTTAACTGTATCTGTAGTATCCTTTATCTGTAGGTCGATGGGATAGATTCGTGCAACATAGTCACCAAATTATGTATTATTTAGTGAGAGAACATCATCTATATAGCGGAACGTAAAACTAAAGGATATTGCTAACTTCTTATCTTTCTTCCTTAGAAGTTCCTGTATGAAGTCAGCCTCATAATAATAAAGAAACAAGTCGGCAAGAAGAGGTGCACAATTGGTTCCCATTAAAATTCTGACAGTCTGTTGTTAGTAATTTATACTAATAAATATGTTAGTAATTTATACTAACATATTTGATCTGCATTTGGGAATAGTTTCGGCTTTCTATTGTACATACAATATTAAAATATTATTGAAAAACAGTAAGAGCTCTATCCCGATTAGCTAAATTATCTGAAAGTCTCAAATTATAAAAAAATTATCAGACTGATGACTGAAGATAATACATAGAAACAAGTACAGAACTATGCATTCTGAATATATTGAAATGAATACATTTTTCGAAGGGCAATAAAACGTGTGTTTCCTTTTTGCAATGACAAAAACTGTTAATTATAGCGCAAGTCAGAAAAGTGTGCGTCAATATTTTTGAAGTTATTATACGCAAAAGAGCAGTTAGATTAATACACACAACACCTTAAAATGACTATTCATGAAAATCTTATAACAAATAGAATATGTATGAAGTTAAGTATTATACTAAAATTCATTATGTTCTGGAATGCACTAATTGTTGATATACGAGGTCACTTGCACATATTCAATTCAAAAAGTTAAATGGTTCAGTCATTTATCTAATGTGCAAGTTAAAGAATGGCTTCATTTTGTCAATCGTTTGCCCATCAACAGCCATAAGGTTGTTGACATTTATCCATTTTCAGGTTGCACGTCTGTAAATATAGGCAATGCAATTTCCCATAGGAACTCCCTTTGCGGCTAAAACTGTGCCACCTTTACTATGAAGCTTCGTAAAAAAATATATCCTAGAATGGAAAGTTGGTATGCACTACTATTTCATTCAAAGGTCAAAACATAGGGCTGTGCGGCATATTGTTAACATCTCCATTCACTTTGGATCTTCCGCAGAATTCAATTTTCGCCGCTACCATGTGTTTTTATACTGGTAACATTTCCAAGTTATGTCTCTATGAGATGAAACATAGAGATTATATCTGAGAACCAGTACGTAAACAAAACAAAATATCTATGAATATATAATATTATATATCCCCCAAGAGGCGTGTATTTACAAAGTACAACCTTTAATGAAACATATATAACAGCTTATCAATTAACAGGTTGTGGCTGTGTTTTCGCGTAAATCAATCCAATTTATGATGAAAGTTTTTTCGAGTAAGATTACATTCGATTAATTGATTTACTCTTGTTAGTTGGACTTATTTTCATAACGTCGCATATTTCCTCGTATTTCACGTAAATTTATTCTATTTTACATTGCTAAGGTTTTTATCGTGACTACAGTTAAAACATCTGGTTTAAAAAACTATAAACTTGTCCTGTTTTTTTCATGGGAAAAAATGGACAAGAAAGAGTGTATCTGTGCCTACAGTAAGTTAAGACTGACTTATTCTTGTTTGTATAACTAAGTGAAGGATCACACCATGTTTTCATTCAAGGCCCGAATAATATAGGTTCGTTTTTCTGTCATTTTCTATCCTATCGACCTGTAGGGTGTTAAAGACCTACACAGGATTTTAATCCTTTTAGTCGAATGTTGGCACATAACTCAAAGGTTGTCATTTAATGCTATATACATATATAGTACTTGATTTTCGTTTACTGTTTTTTTTTACATAATTCAGGCCGTAGTTTTTCGTTTGAATTATTTTACATTCGTCATGTAGGGGTCTTTTATAGCTCATTATGCGGTATGAGGTTTGCTCATTGTTGAAGGCCGTATGCTGATCTTAAAGTTTCAACTTTTAGATTATTCTCAATTTTATCAGTATTCTTGTCATCGTTGCTCCAATTAACTATCTTCTCCTAAAAAAAATGAGAAAATCTCTCCATCGACCACATTCATATCTCCTCGGTTATATCATCAAATCAATTACATACATCTACATTTTATTAATATTTACTTATTACAATTGGTATCAACTCAAATCAAAAAGAAATGTATACACTTCTCTAAAAACTATTACATATATCTTAATAATAACCCTACACAAGGACACAATAGAAAATAATGTTAGACATTAAGTAGCTTTTTACAATTTCTATTCTAGTGTTTGGGCAAAATATAAAACAGTCAATTGTAAAACGTAACAAAGTTATTCTGAAAAGGTGAAATACTAAGTCTAGACATTTATCATAAATGCACTCCTTTTTAGAAAGATTTAGTTTGAATTATGATAAAAAGAAATCCCTGGTCCAGTTAATTATTGTATCATGAAATGACACAGGGCAACCTCTTCATTGACACCATTTAGATGAGCTTAAATTATCTGATCTTTTCAATAACATTGATTTAAACAATCCTTTTTATTTAATGAAAATCACAAAAATAACAAAGATAGGAGATGATTACCAATGCGACATTTCTCTACCAGAGACCATTTGAGGTAGAAGTTAATAACTTTAGGTCATCATAGCGCCTTCAACAATAAGCAAAAACGATATTCAAAGTAAGTTATAAATAGCCCCAAAATGAAAAATTTAAAACAATTTAAACGTAAAAACTATCGACCTGATTTGTGCTCCAAACATTAAGCGAAAAACATATATGATATACAACAACAACCGACAACCACTGAATTAAAGGCTCCTGACTTGGGAAAGACACAAACAGAATATGGAGGGGTTAAACATGTAAAAACACGTTGGCTTGCGCCAAAACTGGTGTTGCAGAACATTATAAGAGCAAACTATAACAACCAGTTAATAAGGGCTTAACTCATGTGATCGATACAAAGCACACACAAAAGTATAACAACTAAATACAAAAGACAGACAGTACAGATACGAGTGTACCTTGCAGTTACTGAATGCTTGTTCAAAGCCAATAACAACTAATAAAACATCATAATTCTAACACTAAAAAAACCAGGCAATAATGGGTCAACAGAGTGGCATTATATCTGTTTAAGCACTGGTTTATATATTGTATTCGTACAGAAAGATTTCATAATACAATAACTAGAAATTATTCATACCATCTTTGAGGTCTGCTCTAAAGTCTGTAAAAATCAATTTTGTTGTCACGCTGTTTGACCATGTCATTAATGATTTGTTAGCAAAAACAAATATCAGATTGATCATATTTTACAACAGGTAGGCCAATATCAGTGATGATAGATTTTAAGAAAGGTCTTATGACGTGTTAGATTTATAACCTCATTCATTCAGGTTCATTGCTAGCTAGCTAGCGTCGTTGGAATAAAATAAACCCTTTACATTGTTTGACTCTTATGTCAAATTTTACTCAATGATTTCCTTAGTATTGTTGTTACCAATGTAATATTGATATAACTATTGTTTGCCTTTTATTTTCAGGATAAATTAAAAACAACTTCGTAAATGTGTGTACTATGTTAGAGTTACAATATAACAATTATAACTGTTGTGCTCTATCAGAATCAGAATTGCATAGTGATATAGCGATAGTTCTTTTTTTTACATATTCTATCTTAAAGTACATCTTGTTATTGACCCTAAAATAGTACATAATTGAAGAAAGTCAGAATTCAGATGGCTTTATCAAATAATAGGGTCATATAATGTGCATGTTATCAAAAATAAAGAGGTGTAGTATGCCAATAAAACAAATATCCACAAAAGTTCAAATGAAGTGAATATAAGCAATTATAGGAAACTGTACGTCCTTCAACAATTAGTTAGTTTTGGGATAAAAAACAAGAAAGTCAAATTAAGGTAGTCCAAAGGGCAAATATTTTGCTGTTCCGAAAATGTGGATTACTAATCAAATATGTGCTTATTTATAGCACCAGATTGATAATGCTATCACTTTTGTGCTCTCAATATTAATAAAAAAATCTGTCATCTCTTCTCAATTAAACGTTGTATTGTAAAAAGATACAGGGTAATATCTCCATTTAGAACGTTTCCTATCATCTTAAGCTATCTTGTAAATTCAATATCATCAATCTCAACTTCCTTATCTGTTATTCCTTGAAAATAGTACACTTTAGATGTAATACCAAATTCATTGTTTCACATTTGTAAACCTTTGTAGGAAATTTAAAAATGTTTTCAAAAAGATAAATTATTGCAGGTACCTGCAAAATAATATTTTTGAATCGAATTTCTGCATAAATTCAGTCATATGTATCAATGAAACATATTTACCTTGGAAAAAAGAAGACCAATGGTAATGTAATACATCTGTTTAAAAACTGGGTAAAATATTGTATACATACTGACAGATGTTTTAATACAATGAATAGTATGATTCACGTCTGACTTTATTAATTTATATTAAAAATAGCATGTTCTAGGTTTTCTATAAGATTATTTAAATCTTGTCTTTAGAAAGTTAAAGTGCTGAATCAACTAACGAATTTGAATACACAATACAATATTATGTATTTTCTAAAAGATGCAGGGTAACCTCTTCATTGACAATAATCATATGACCTTAAGCTATCTTATCTATTCAATTACATCAATTTAAATGATTTTTTGTTATTTCTTGCAATTGAACCTGCTATATTTTAAACGCTATAGCTAATAGATTAAAACGATATTTAAACATCTTTAGGAAAATTGCAAACAAATGATAAAAAGCTGACTATAAATATTGCTTTCATAAAAACTTATTTTACTTAAAAAAAAAATGAAAATAGGGATAGGAGTGATATAATACGACTGTAAACCAGCAACATATCGTGACTATTGTAATTTGATTGATCTGTAGTTACCTACAAAATAATGAAACATATGTTTGCATTACATTTGGCAAAAAAAATGTTTTCAAAACGATTCATCAAATCATTGCAATAGCAAACCAGCAGCACACAAAGGCAAATTATAGTTACTTACAGATTTGTAAGAGCCGACAAACCTTTAAAG